AATTAAAAATTTAGTCTTGCAAAGGATGAACATTTGATACTTTAAATTGCATGCATTTAATATCGCGCTACCATGTGTTTCAGGCTCATCCCTATCTGCTTCTAGGAGAGCTTCGTGGTGCATTTCTGCAATCCAGCAACACTTGACAATTTACACAGCAAAAAGGATAAAAGGAGGGCTTCATGGCCTTAAGCATCACTAAATGGTATTCAGAATACCACGTCAGGAACGATAAGCCCATTCAAAACAGTTTATCAACCTACCCCGTTGAGTTTGGGAAGTTTGTCAACGATGATAGTGATTGCAATGCCCAAATTATTCACTAGCCCAACTCAAGGTCAACAGTCATTCGGAGGAACGTCAACGTGACCTACTCAGTCAAGCCAATATCAACCAAGAATAGGCCACAATACGATACTTCAATGCTCACATTCGAGGGCAATTGACAAGCCCACAAGCAAGTTTCGTTAAATCGACCCAACTGTGCCGATTGCATTCGAAAACTATCCCCTTCTGTCGCAATTTTTTGCCCAAAAAGCTATACATTCCCACATGTATTGCAAAAAACGTGAAGACTTGTGACCTCAGTTTTAACCACTCATCATTAATTGTATGTGGTCTTGTCAAAAGCATGGTAGGTGAAAACTTTACCACATTTTCGTACTTGACAACAGCATGTGGAAAATTTGGGTAGATGGGGATGGGAACATGTAAAGATAGATAGGCGAACCCAAGTGCTTACCATTTGCAAGCAAAAAGGTCCACTCTGCTGTTTCTGCCAGATCTACTGATCCACAGGTTCATTGTATACAAATAGATCAATTTTGTTTGGAGGCGAGTCTGTCTACCCTTCACTGTGGTGGCACAAATCAAAATATGTAACTTTAAAAAAGGTTGTTTTACACGAAGGTGGCAAACAAATAGATAGAAAATACGCAAACGCACACATGAGTAAAAGGATAGAATAATGGGGGGATAGAAACCAAGTATTTTCATCACAAGTAGTTTTAAGCTGTCTTTGTAAATAATGTGTTTAATCTAGCAGAATATGTAAAACCGAGGCTAAAATGTAAAAAATGCTTACTTGAATTCAACAATATATCAATAAATACACAAACACTCAATTGCAACGCATGCAATTTCTATTATGGCATATTATAGTAAAAGTAATGTTTTAATAATTGTGTTCTTTTGTTTCTAATTTATTTTCACAAATTCGCTAAATATATTCTCGGTTGTTTGACTACATATTTGAACTATGTCCAAATACCGATGGGTGTGTTTTGAACCTGTGGTGTGCAGCGGAGGTCGTTTTATCAAACTCGTTTTTTAAGGGATGCAAGCGATTAAGAGGAATCGGTTGTGGCATTTGCTATTTTTTACACCTTGACAATCCGCATGTGAGGAATATAGCGTCCCCACGTGTTAACAGTCGTTTTTTCTCTTGGCCAATGTGTCTGGGTTGAACGTCGGGAATAACCAAATGTGATCGGTTGCCATGGCTCTGTGCTAATTGCATTTGACTAGCCTCTGTCGGAAGTGGGGGCTGTTGGCAATTTTGCTATTTGTGTCGAAGGGGTCTGTCCTAACCTACAGTCTTCGTTATTTGGACTTGCTGGAGAGGAGAATCGCTTGACTTTCGAATAACCTTTGGAAAGAGGAGAATCAGGAACATCTACTCATAACAGGTAATTACTGTCATGCTCTTTCAAATAGTATTTATGCGTAGATACGCCTTTAAGTGTTAGGAAGTGCGTAATGGACATCCTTATTAGTACATTTAGACAATCACATACGAATGCTTGAGACTGCATCACCTCACTCGTCATTTTTACGGGTGGTTTGCAGGGAATATTGGTGAAAATTTCTCTATCTGAATGGAATGCATCCGATATCCTGTATCCTAACGCTCATTTGGTCTCCAGCTAAGGCTTCCTCTACCATGAGTGTTCTGCTGCTAGTCGCCGAGAATGCACTCGCAAATGTTTGAGACAAGGCTGGGTCAATGTCGACTTCTGTGAGTAATGGATTTTCTTCCTCACATTGCTCGTATTCCATCTCCACCCCCAGGCAAGTATTCATAAACATTCTAGCTAACTCGTAGTAATTTCGAAGTGACGACATTACTGTTCAGTGCTTTGTTTTTAGGTCCACATATGCGAGTATCATTTTGCTTCCTTATGCTCTGTTGTTTTTCGCCACTTGCTCACTGCAGTTCTTCTGTCTGCTTATCGCCGGGCATAGCTGCATGTAAAATTTTGCAGACAATATAACTCGGATGTGAAAATGAGGAAGATAACTTACTTTTTAGCTGTTATCATGGCCAATGCACTCGATACTATGCAGATTTGTTTACAACTTGCAGAAGTGATTATTATTCGTTAGGGTGAATACTGGTCCCTGAAAACTATTCTGAGTAGCATGTGTTAAGGGGTAACATCCCAGCTACAGTCATTGGAAGTCTTCACAGACTATGTTAGCAGTATTGACAAAGGAGGAAACTTCTAAGGATATTAAAGGCACTGAACTCCTTACTGCTCTTCACGACTCGTGCATGATGCGAAAATTGAACCGGTTTTCTCCGTTTTCGTTGTGTTTCAGGCACGAGTTGCATTATTTTACATCGGTAAACTGGGCCCTTCGTGATTTTCTTACTCCCAGATCACCCTTTGATTTTCGGTCCGTCAGAAAGGGCAGTGCCGTGGCGGGTCCCTCCCCGGGCCTCGAGGGCAGCGCCAACGTTGCTTCCAACGATCACGGTCGTGCGTTCTCCACCGCCCTTGGCGTGGTCGACCTTATATGCGCCCCCAACTCTTATTACATGTTAATTTTCACTCACTTAGATTAGTATTAGATTAGTATTACTTGTGTGTTCACTTGGTTAGTTTATTCAACCTTGCACCAAGCATAAATAAGTGCAATTGTCTAATTACGGCTCTTCGACCGCAACAGGCATTCTCAAAGTGGTAATGTGAAAGACTGAAACCCCAACAATGGGCCGCGTCGACACTGCGTTCGCCGTGCCTGGGACCGCATATTCACGTAGCGTTTCGATAGTCTCGACGTCATCATATAGCGATTGTACCATCTCTTTCTCGAGAAGACTGACATCCCTTGGAAATTGGGCTGTCAATGAGCAGCAGGTGCGTTTGATTTGTTTCTCTTATAAACACGTTTTGGGTCTTTCATAGAAACCTGCACACTTTATGTTCATTGAGTGTTTCCTCAGTGCAAATGGTGTTTAAGTTATTTCAAACAAATCAAGCTTATCAATTTTCCGATGTGTAGATTCTCAAAGCATAAATTTGGCTTCCTGTTGCGCCAAAATTCAGCAATCTTTCTCCTCTGTTGCATCACTAGAAGTAGTACGTCGGAAGTGTGTTTGCGCATGTTGCGAGGTACTTAGTTGGCTCTTATCATCAGGTTTTTATAATGCCGCATCATCATTCTTACATAGTTAAGCACTTCTCGCCTGCATTGCAGTGTGAACATTCTCGATAGAGTGGTAATGGTGGTGATGGGACTATCAGTCGTAGTAACTTCTTAGTCGTATCTTGATTCATGTAATGTAGTCATTCAGCAATTAAAGAGCACTCTCTAAATGATGGTGCGTATTGGGTGGAAGATTGGGCTTTCCTCTGGATCTTGTATGCATGTGAATTGAGGGGGTAATGAATAGTTACAGTAAAATTACCTACCATCTGTGTGTTGGTAATTTCATTTACTTTAGTAAATAAATGAACAATTGCATGCCGATTTGAAAGCGACTTTGAGATCCGCTTTTGAATAATTCATATGTATTTCCAGTACTGCTGACTGGGTTGATCTTAGTTCATCGGGGGCCTGAAAAATTGAATGCAAATTGAAGATATGCAAGTGAATAAGTCAGCTTTGTTTTCGGTAATGGTAGGTAGACTACGTAAACTTCATCGAAAACATGCCGAATCAAAGGCGAATTTAGGGTCAGCTCTTGAATAATTTAACTCTGTTTACGTTAGTGCTGGCTGCAATAAGCTCAATTCATCGGTGTCATGCCAAAATGAATAAGAATTTAAGCTGTGCATTTGAACAATTTGGCTCTATTTACATTGGCGCTGGCAAGATTAGGGACAGGACACATGATTCGTGCTGTATTGAATGAAGTATGAGACTGGCCCTTGAATAACTTAGTACTGACTGCGGTAATTTCGGTCGGGTTGATCTCATTTCTTCTTGAGCCCGCAAAATTGAATGCGAATGTAAGACATTCCATTGAATAAATTTACAACATTTATAGTAATGCTGACTAAAGTAAGTTCATATTAACGATCATATCCTGAATTAAATGCCAATTTAAGATTTATTCTTTGAAAGGTTTACACCGCAAATGTAGAGTATGCTCCTAAATAATGGTTCTGATTAGAAAAAATGCTTCCTAATGAAAGCTAAATACAACGAGAAAAACGGAAGTGAATGGTAATTTAAGGGAAAAATAAAACTTGAGCAAAAATTTGCTAATGCAAATGAGAAGAAAAAAGACATAGAGATAGAATGCCAAATAAATGAAACATAAAATTCACTATTTTCCACCAATTACATGAAAAGCAGTGCGAATACGCTGCTAGCATAAAAAGTTAGATATTAGATTGTATGTCGGTGTTAGTTGGTGTTTGTGTGACGCAGGTGTGGAGTAAATGAGTTGGTGCTGCCGTTTTGTTGCTGCAAGTGTAACGCAAAGCCATGGTAGCAATGTGAGAGGTATAGGGGAGTGGGAGAGAGAGAGAGAGGTGGTGGAACGAGCCCGATAACCTCTGTCCTGATGCTCATTGGATCTTTATTTAGAGCTTCCTCTTCCAAGAGTGTTATGCGGTTAGTCGCCGAGACTGCACTCGTAAGCGTTTATGACTCGGTTTATATTCTTTTTCTACCCCTAGACAAGTATCCATAGACACTCTAGCCAGTTCGTAGTGATTTCAAAATGACGGCATTGCCGTTCAATGCTTTATTTTTTAGACCCATTTTGTTCCCGTATGCTCTTTTATTTTTTTGCTGCTTGCTCACTGCGGTTCGTCTATGTCCGCTTATTGTCGTGCATAGCTGGATGGAAAATTTTGCAGATAATATAACTCGAGCGTGAGAGTGAGGGAGGCAACTCACTTTTTATCTGTCATCATATCCAGTTTACACGTCACGATGTAGTTATGCTTACAACACGCAAAAGTGGTAATTAGTCGTTAGGGCGAGTATTGGCCCTCGAAAAATGCTCTGAGTAGCATATGTGTTAAGGGACAACATAATAACTAGAGTCTTTAGAAAATCCTCCTAGACTGTTAGCGGTATTGACAAAGGAGGAAACTAATGAGGATACTGAAGGTACTGAACTCCATACTGCTCTTCACGACTTGTGTATGATGAGGAATTTGAGTTGGTTTTCTCCATTTTCGTTGTTTCAGGCACGTGTGGAATTATTCATATGGTTAAACTGAGTCCTTCATGATTTGCCTACTCATGCATCGCCCTTCGGTATTCGGTCCGGCAGAAAGGGCAGTGCCGTGGTGGGTCCCTCCTCGTGACTCGACGACCGCGCCAACATTGCTTCCAACGCTCACGGTCATGCGTTCTCCGCCTTCCCTGTCGTTGTCGATCTTCTACGCGGCTGCGATTTATTACAGGTCAGCTTCCCCTCAATTCCCGTCTTACTTATTTCCTCTTCCCCTCTTAAAGGCCGATGAGAGTTTTGTTGCTTAGATTATCATTATTGGTGCATTTATTAGATTAGTTTATCCAACTTGGTATCAAACATGAGTATACTTGTGTAGCGACAGCTCTTCAATCGCAACAATCGGTTTCAAAATAGAAATGTGAAGGACTCTATCTCCTGCAATGAGCTGCGCCGGTGCGGGGTTTGCCGTGCCTGATGCCGCATAGTCACGGAGCGTTTCGTCAGTCCCGATGCTGTCATGCAACAATTGCACGACTTATCGCCCGAAAAGACTGCCATCCCCCGTATGGAGGGTTTTCACTGACCAGGAGGTGCTTTTAGTCAGTTTATCTCATTACCTTGCTTTTTAAGTCATTCATGGAAGTTTACTTACTTTAGATGCATTGCTTCCCCTTGTAAAAATATGCTTAATCTGTTTAAAATGACCTGATCAAGTTTCCGACATGTGGATTATCATAGCATTAATTTGGCTCTCCGTTGGACGAGAATACAGTAATCAGCCTTCTTCATTGCATTACTTTAGGCAGTACGTTAGGAGGGTGTATTTCTTCGTGTCGTGAGTTTCTCAGTTGTTCCTTGTATCATCGGATCCTTTAAAGCTATATCGTCACCTTCATGCGGTGGAGCGCTTCTCGCTTAAATGTCGACAAACATATTCTTGAGAGAATGGTATAAGCGGTACTGGAAATACGATTCGTCGCGACTTTAATCATGCCTTGGTTTGTGGAATCTAGTCACTTGTCATTTGAAGAGCTCTCTCCAAACAGCAGTATGTATCGGGTGGTTGATTGGGATTCTATCTGGATCATGCATTCATATGAATCGAATAGGTAATGATTACCAAAGGAAAAATTACCTGCAATCTGTTTTTTGCTAATTTTTCTCATAAATAAACTACTCATTGTGAGCTTGGGTCGCCTTTGCCGCATTGTACTTTAGCAGGGGTACTTGTCCACGCGCCGCGTGTGTGACCTAAGCGAAGCCTCAAATCTTAGTTCTATTTTGAATGTCAAACACAGGGTGATTCTGTTGCTGTTAGCACTGACTCGATTATGATGGCCAACATTGCAAAAGTTATGAGGGTAGAACCTTTATTACAAATTATGCTCAAATTCACTATTCACGTAGATATCCCTCGCCTAAGATCGGTTGATCTATCATGTTTCCGTATGCACCTTACTATTGATGTTGGGGGTGTGAATAGTAGGTGGAACCTTGAAACCCTTTAACACCTCTCTGGACTGTACTCTGTCGCCTTGCACAGTTGTGAAGGTACAATTTGTGGTAATATTTTTGCCGAATGTTTGCGAGGTCAAACAAGTAACCTCCGAGGCAGTTTATTAATCACTTGGCATTCACGAAATGCACCTCTCTTTTGACTGACCTACCATTGCTGCAGTTTGAGGTGTGTCCGTCTGGCGTCGCGTATATGTGACACGCATTCTCCCCACGAAATTTCCACCAAAACCTTTTGTGGCACCCTTCAGCACATCCATTCAAACTAATTGACTTGTTAAACAAGACTTGATAGTTTTAATTAAACGAGATGCGAAGAATAGTGGAAGTGGAGTGCTAATGACGAAAGAATGAAGGTAGGCAGCGTTGAATCTGCCAAATTGAAGGCTGCAAGTAGTGTGCATTTCGCTGTAGGATGTCCACGAGTTGTGTGCCTCTTCTATGGACCAAATGGAAGATAGCGGATCGGAGAGACGGTTCTGCGAGGTGTCGAGGATTTGCTCACAGTCTGGCGTCTTTGTCCCCTTCCACCTATCTCTGCCAATAGCGATATGCCTGCTGACGTCGCTATCGCCAGCACGATTACTGATGGCGTACAGCACTTTGGCTAGTTTCGTACTCAGCTCCTTTCATCGGTTCATTGCATCCCAGTTTTTTGCATCATATGCTCTTATCATGGTTAATTACGTCTTGTCCCCTAGTCCTGCACTATTCCCATCCCAGTGAGTTAAAACGACAACGTCTCTTTTATTCATTTTAATTGAATAATTTTAGGTTAGTTCTTTGCTGGTATAAACGTCGCGATGACTGCACACGAAGAAAGTGTTGTCTGAAGAAACGGCGGTGTACCGCTGCTCAGTGGAGACTTGGCTGAGTGGTGAGTTTTGTACACCGAAGCGTCTCACCGGAATCCACTATCCTCAATGTCGTATGGCGATAGTGAACGACCTATCACCGCTAGTGTCAAATTGCAGCTCCGTCTGTTTCCTCGCCAAGAACCTGTGTCGTCGGTCGATTGCTTTGCCTCCATGGCAGCAACAACAATGATAACAACAAGGCACCTCATGTCATCTACATTCAGCGTGCTGTGTGGGTACCACTGTAGCAAAACGCTTCCATCGCGGATGTCTATGTTGGCAGTTTTACCGCCGGCGGCATGATGTCTTAATACACCGAACTTGTCACCTTCTCTGCTGACCTTGATCACTGGCATTTTCTCGCATCTGGGTGCACATTCAATTAAACTATCGTCTTGGCAGATCCCTCCATTATATTCTGTGCTATGTAGTTGTGCGTCATGGCAACACTCTGTATGCGGGTCACTTTGTGGCCTACCAGTTACAGATGGAGAGTGGTGTTGAAGGCGCCATTGCAAATGAGTGGGTCCCCAGCTCTGACCGATACGTCGACCTGATCCCCTTTACCAGTGTTCAGGAATGCCAGGTGCAAAATTGTTTGGCTGAGGCAGGAGGGGGATCAAATCCTAGCACAATGATCTTTCCTTTTATCCCCACTATAGGTCTGTATACTTTTTCCCTGATGCAACGCACGCCTCCACATCCACTGAATCCAAGACTGATGGGGAAGGATGAGCTTCCGGAAAAGGAGACTAAGCTAAAGTGAAGTTGCATCGCCAGTGCAGAGCATTTGTGCGCTGATGGAGATGGTGTGTGGAGAGAAATCATCTAGCATTATTGTCTATTAACATTCCCATATTTTTCTTTCATGTAATTTACTCTACTTTTCCCTTCCTCCCCATCCCCATTTACTTATAGGGCATCAAACTACCTGCTCCTCTTTGATGATCATTTCCTGTGTCATTGGAGATTTCACATGCTCCAAAGCGTACTTGCCTGAATAAATTGCTCATTTAGTCATCACATGTTGCCTGATGTTTGAGATCCGATAGGTGCAACAGCTGATGGGATTGCAGATATGTAGGTAGAGAACTTGTGCTAGAACAATGGGACACTAAATTTTTAGCGGGGAACCAAGGCTGGTAGTTGGAAAGCCGGACAGGTGTTGTCCGTCTTCAAAAACGGTTGGTTTTTATTACTTATATAAAGATAAGGGAGTATACGCGCGCCCGATACTCCTATTCATGTATCTTTGGGTACCAGGACTATAAAAAGTCTCATTTTGCATTACTGAGCAGCAAATTTTTGATTTCCTACCAACGGGGATCTGAAGGGATCCATCGAAAACGTCATCTACACCGATCTGAATCGAAGTGCTGTTGCCTTCTAACAAATTTTTCCCAAAATAAAAAGACTTGAATCATGCAGCACTAAGACGTCAGAAATTAAGACCCCATTGTGCCAAATTTTGTATCAACTATTCAACTGTAAACTAAAAATTAGTAGTAAAGTTGCGTAGAATTGTGTCTATAATAAAATGGGAAGTAAAAACGGGAATACGCTTTCAAAGGCTATACAATTCATAAGTGCTATGGCTTTTCACTTTCAAGTTCCCTTCCTCCAGAAGGCGTTGTTATTATCACATTGGCACTTGTGCGAACATCAGTTTGGCGGCCAACTAAGAGAATAAGCGTAGTCGGATAAAATTTTCTGTCAGCTGAAGTCCACTAAAGTGGCAAGCAAGTGCTAATTACGGAAAAAGTGAAGGGACCGGAATAGGACAGTCGCGTGGGATAACTATGCAAAACGGAACTCTAGGATAACATACACGAGTAATGTGGATTCTAAGCTTTACTGGGAGCTCATCAATACCCCTTTCCGGGTGCTAATTGATTTTTCCTAATAGCAGACATAGATTTGTGTTTTCTTAGAGGGATAAAAATACCATAAATGCACTGTGTTCAAAAACAGGTATTGCACCGCGTAAGTGAGATTGTGTATGACATTAAAACTTGTTGGTTTCAAATTAAACCGAGTTTTTAAGCATTCGCTGTAAGAAAAATTAAGTTTTTAATGTGTAAAACCTCATGAAAACTGCAGCGTTTGGCGTTCACAATATGCGCCTTCCAAGCAACATTGTTGGAGTAGCTACGAGGACCCACTGCTTAGCACAAACACACCTCTTCTTATCATTTTTAACTCCCAGTATTTACTGACGGTAAGTAAAACGTAGGCTCTTTTTCTCAACAAGAATTGAGTAATTACCAGTCGCCTTGAAAATACTCGTGGACTGGACTACACTAGAAGTATAAAGGACTCGGGGAATTTTACACCGGCTTTTTCAATTTTTGGACAATTTTATAACGCTTCTGTAAATAAATAAACAGCTTTTAAGAATTTGATGTGCACCCAACCATCGCGATATCAGCCGCACCACTTGTGGAGACTAGCTGTAATCTTGCGAGCTTCTACTTCAAGGTTTTCCAAGAATTAAAACACATCGCTCTTTGACATACCCAAATTTTTTAAACAAAGCAGCATTTATTTACAATAGGTCCTAATTTTGTCAACTAATGTAACGCTTGTTTGGGCGTGGGAAACATGATGACCCATGAGTTGAAGATAAAAATAGGCAAATGTATATGACGATTTTAATACGCTTAATCACCAAACGTTGAAATTCCCCTTCTTTTACAAAGATGAATATTTGCTTTCAAATTAAGGCACACTGCTGCTAATAGTGGGTTAAAGAAGTCTCAAATTCCATTTACAGAATGTCCGCATATTTCACAGCCAAAATGATAAAGGATTGCTTGCAGTACACCGGGACTTCCCTGAAGACGAAAGACGACGGAACACCTGAACAGAATATATGTCTGTCAAAATACAGTAGAATCTGGGCTACTAGCATGAATTAGGAA